TGTTGTGAAGTGGTCGTGTTTCTATCTGCGGAAGACTCCCATTTGTATTAGAATACGTTTCTGTTCATAAGGTCCTGGGTGTATTGGATAGCCCAGTACCAGGTCTTTCAAACTTGGTTAATCAGTGTCACGGTACTAGCATTCAGTGTTATCCCTTTCACCTTTTTTAGTTTTTTTTTTTTTTGTCAGTCATCCGTTTGTAGCCATATATTGTCATACGGTAACTCACTAGTTAGTTCCTCTAGATAGTTCACCTAGAGGTGGGTTCCAGTCTGCATCTCTGCTAACAAATAAGTCAGTGTCATGGTACAAAAATCTCTCCTTTAGGCTGTCAAATATATTCTACAACTCCAGGCGGTGGTAAAGGACACAATAAAAATATTAGTGCCTTCCAAACCTTTTGCACTTTTCCAGCTAAGCATGGCTGTGGAGTCATCTATGAAATCTAAAGATGATACTTCATATTGTGGTAAAAATACATGACGAAAAAGTTGATCAGGGTCAGACACCAGACTAGTGGCTTGCAAACTAGGTTTCTGTCCAAATTTACCCAATAAAGAATTTAGAAATTTAGCAATTTGCCTTTTTGCAGGGTTTACCTCTATCCTTTCAGGTCTTCACATAACCAACTCTTTGCCATGATAGTAATGAACATACACAATTTTTTTTCATTTTATTTTTTCCATCAGTGGTACACCAATTAGGGTAGCCTGACGCCTCCTGCTTATCCCTGAGACGAACTTTGATGTACTTGTCAGTCAAAGATTTTGCATAATTTGTATCTATTTCCCAAAGACAGGATTTCATTAGTACACCCAGTACCTGTCAAAGAGTGTTCATCTGTATGTGTGCAAGGACTCATTTGGTTACTTAAACAGAAAGTGTGGCACAGGGGGAACATGAGCTTACCATTCATTTTAAAAGGTAGCACAGGGAAGAATAAGCCTCCTAGGAGGTTATAAAGAAGTGCTCTGTGCAGTGTATAAGGTGCTTAATGATGGAAATATAGCAGCTAAACATTCGTGTAAAACATCCCAAATTTACACAAATAGGTATACCAGAAGAAAGTGGACCTGGTGGAACACACCACCAAAGACTCAGGTGAATTTTAATATTTTTGAGAATTTTTTATACACCCCTACAAGTGGGAGAATATTGTCATCTGACTCCCCTATTATATGATGGGGTAAGCATATTTTATCAGCGCTGCACTGAGTCTCTTTGGTGTGTTCCACCGGTTTCACTCTCTCCTAGGAGGTTGTTTACTTTTGCAATTCCAAAATGGGTGTTAAGACAGTCATTATAAACTATTTCTGGCTGACCAGTAGGGTATCTTTTTGTTTTATTTACATATGGGTACAGACTGGTGAAATCAAAGTGTGCTCACCAGAGGCCATTTGTGATACAATTTTATAGTGTTCGTACAACTCCCATAAAGCACATCATGATTTTAAGGGCAAAAATCTGCAGTCCCCTGTCAGTTTCTAACCTGTTTGTCCAATTATGCTCCCACATCACACACCCCAACATAACCACACTGCTTTAAAAATTTTTAACCATGGTTTTATGGTGCAAATGTGGTGGTTTTTACATGGGTAAGGACATTACCAGTTACAAAGAGGGCAGCCATGATAAAAGCAACCATGGAATTCAAAAGCTGCAGGTTTACCATTTATCAGAGCGTAACCATCCAAAAAGTAGTTGCCAACAACTTTCTCACCACCCTGTAAGACGTGTTGTATGGTGACCTGTGTTCAAGCATCGGCCACTGGATGGATGCTGTAGAAACGCTTCTGAGTTTTATGGTAATTGTCAGAGGGGATATTATGATATTGTGGTGTTGTGCTATGGTGTTCTTGGGCAGAAATTTGAATCTGTACATGGCCATGCATACAGGAGCTAGGATAGTGAGTTGGAAAGGGTCAATCTAATTTGAACTTCAGGACCACAAGCACCCTTAATTGTTTTCTTTTGTCACTTCCATAACACTCGCTCTGTAGAAGGTGCATGCCTCTCTCAGGATATTAACATCTTCAATACAATATTTAAGTTCAATTGGAAAGTTGAAATCAGTGCTGGTTTGACTTGTACCAGTCCATGCAATTTATGTTTTCATCAGACAATCTGTTCAGCACCATAATAGTCAACAGAGGTTATTGGGCCAATATAATTTTGATTCTCTACTGTTGGCGTGGAAAATAGTTACATCCTTCGAATCTCATGGCCTGCAGTAGCTTGCTCAATTTCATGGGTAGGAAATTTAATGACTCAATAAACCAGATGCCAAAATCAGTAACACAGTAACTTACCACCTTGAGCCAGTAATTTTACCTCAATTTTCTCAATTTCCTTAAGTAGTTGGTTCACCACAAAAGTAGGAATCCTAACGACCGGCATTATGTACTATAAATGTGTAGCAAAAGGGTATCAATAGTCCGAACAAAGTCGGGCAGACATGATGCACCCTGAAACTCCCAACATTTAGGTGGCACAAAGGCTGTACCGACACGATTCTCGTGTTACGAACGATTGTTGCATTCTAACTGTGCAGCATAGATAAAATGTGTCTCCTGTATGCATTCAAAATCAAATGTATTTGTCTGTGGGATCAGGTTTTTTTGCATGTAACAAACATGATCATCAAATGTGGCCACCGGTTCATAACACACCTGACACTTAAAACCTTCACACTCATGATTTTCCATCACAACATAACCACACTGTTTTTTGTTTTTACAGAATATTTTACCAACGTTGGCAAGCTCATAGTGTAGCTCTAAACACTGTTTAGAATGACCGTGTGACAGCAGGGGCATCTGGAGCTCATTTGTAACACAATTCTGTCTGTGGCACTCCTTGCAAAAGTAACGGCAGTAAAGATTTTTGTGATAAAAAGGGGTATGACCGTTATCACCAGGGACCCCGATAAATGCTTGAGTCTTTAAAAAAACAAATTAAAACTTTTTTTTAACCATAATGTTTTCGTGATGAACAATAGTTTCTTCTTGATTACATCTGACTAAAAATACCTCGGTGCACCACGGTTGTGATAGAGAATCTTAATAGTTACGTCTCAATGATGATGATCAAAAGCCAGTTTATTGCTAAAACTAAGCGATCATCAGGGATACTCAGAGCTTTATAAATAACACTGCATCAACCAGTATTTCTTGATCTATAAGGACACATAAGCTAGCAGCCAGACACAAGTTATCATTGTTAAAATCAAACAATCATTGTCTCTTAGTCTGGATAATGCAACTATAGGATGTTGATCTGAGATGTCTACATGTCATTAAACCCCCAGCTCTATTCCTAACAATACAACCATAAAGAATCGCCACCAATGCTTTCTGCGTTGCTTTGAAGCAAATTTGCCAAAATTTAAAAAAATCCACTGCATTTATGCCCTCCTTAGACCTAATACAATACAAAGGTCTACATAGGCCCTCAGCAGTCAATCTTAACTGAACAAAATCATTCGGACCTATGCCGGGTAAAATTCTGCATAAAGCCCCTTCAATAGTAGCATGCATTGACTCTATTGTTGCAACAAATGATGGCATTCTCTCTAAATTCACAAAATGAAAATGATCATAAAAATTCCACAGCGTTAAAATTGTTTGCTCACTTCGATGTTAAACATGCTCTTAAAAATACTGGGGCAACATCATGGGGATTCTGAATTTCTTGTTGCACACCTCCATCAAGGCTACTCTGAGGACTTGTAGCCCCTTGGTGTAACAGATTATGAGGATTTAGCAAATGTGGCTGCATATCCACAGGAGAATTATGCTCCGGGTTAAGGATCCCACTGGTGTACTGCCGGGCAGTCACAATAGCACTATCAGGTTGTAACACAGAAGCCTGGTGTATTTGGGCTGATACAATAGAATTTCTCAGTTGTGGGTTTGTTGGTAACAGTGGCTGTGACGGACTGCCTGGCACCCCGACCGGGTACCTCCATCAACTGCTGCTTCCTAGTACTTGCGAGTACCATATGCACTGTGCTGGAACCCCATAATTACTGTAAACCCCACGAACCGTCACAGCTTGGTTGGGATCTCGCTGTCTCCTTCCCACCCTGGACCTATGACCAGGATCCAGCTTCCAGTGGGTAGACCTTAGTCCAGAGAGCGTAGCAGGAACAAGCTCTTACAAGAGCTTGGTGATTATACTCAGGGGAGTATAGTGATTTATAGCAATCCCCCAAACATGAGCTGAAACTTCACGAAGGTGCTAGATCTGAGCTTGAATGGTTCATGTTGGCTTTTATACAATTCTTCAGGCCAGTGGAACACCCCCTGGATCTGATGGGACACAGGAACACAAAGGGCACAAAAGCAATCAAAACCGTCAAATGCCCATGTACAGCACACAATCCCTCCCCTCTGCTTGGGAGAAGTCCTGTAAGTAACTCAATTATCTCCAGGCAGAAATTTTTTTTTCACAAAGTTCAGAAAGTACCCCAAAACATAACATATTCTCAAAGAGCCCTGATCTGGGTGAACAACATATCCAAAAATTACCCAGATCAGAGCAGGGGTTCAACAATTTCATGGAAGCCTTTTTGACCAGATGCAAGCATGGTTTCATGCCCAAAATGGTTCCAGGGAATTAGGGCCAGCGGTCGGTCTCTTTGTGGATGTTACGCTACTAGGGGTGATTTGGATTGGAACTAAACTGCAGCTTGTAAACTCCCTAATTACAATAGTGAAGAAACGGAGAATCTTTAAAGTATCAATACTGTAGCTTTAAGAAAAGAGAATCACTGGTAACTTGATTCAACCGAAGTTTTAATAAGTGTTAAACTTAAATGAATTGCATTTAGGCAATAATCCAATAAGAGGAAGTGCAAGTAATCAACAACACAAAGTTCATTATTAAGTATTTCCTCAGAAATGCATTAAGTAAAATTCATTAAGTTCATGAGAATAATCTTCAATAGAAACCATAGGCAAGTAGATCTCGAAAAAGCACTTACGAGTTCAAAAGTTGGACTTAACCGATAAAGTACATGTCTAAACTGAAAACAGGTACAGGAAAATAACATCTTATAGAACAGCCTAAATTCAGTCATTATAAATGTTGCTATTGACTATAGATACCATTTGTGCCAATCACTATGAACACATTGTGTAAATGTGTCCGGCTTTGTAAAAAGCTGTAGTTCACCCATATTCATTAGAAAGGGGAAAACTAGAACCCCTCGTTAAGACCCCTAGGGCTTAGGGTTTTTAATCTAAAGATCCAAAAGGATTCTCGTTGTCTCAAGAATGTCATAATTCCCCCTCCTAGGGCTTTTCTTCACAAGTTCAAGGTCGCAAAAGCATAGCCCCTTGGAATCCCCATTATGATAAGGTGTCTTGAGATAGGGTTGTCAAAAGGATTTCTAGGGGATGGCCTTGAAGGTTTTTCCCACATTTTAACTTGCACTGACATGTGAGTAGATACACGAGTCCAGCCGTATTGCAGTTGAAAAAAGAGGAAATAGTAAATTCCTCCACATCCTCACTGTCCTTCACTGTTTTAGAATCTTTCTTTACAAATTTACAGGTGGTACCTCTACCACAGGGAAAACTGCCCATCACAGGACTCTGGAGCCATGTGGTGGGATGTTTCAGCTGTAAATGGCTGGGGGACAAAATGTCCCTCAAGTTTCTCCCTCTACGTGCGGTGATGGCAGCGTTGGGGGGTAATCTCTCTTTTAGATGATGATCCGTGAGTATGGGCCAAAAGCGCTGAAGGAATTCTTTTATTCTGCTCCAACCAGCATCATACATAGCTATAAGTCGAATAATATTTGACTCTTTTGAATTTGTGATTGAAGGTGTATCATTTATAAGTGTATTCCTGTCTGATTCAAGAGCTCTCTTGTAAGCTCGTTTTAAACATTTTATTAGGGTATCCTTTCTCCCTAAAATGTGTTTTCAGATCTTGTGCTTTAATTTTAAATTCTTCAATTGAGCTACAGTTGTGTCTGACCCTCAAGTACTGACCTACGGGGATACCCTGTGTCAGGGGTTGGGGATGGAAACTATCCCACCTGAGAAGGTTGTTGGTAGCTGATTTTTTTATTTTATTTTTTTGTATAGGGTAGTTTGTAAGGTGTTTTGGTCGGTAATGGAAATTATGTCTAGAAAGTTAATGTTCGTACCACCATACTCACTTGTGAATCTAAGGTTTTCATCGTTCACATTGAGAACTTTAACAAAGTCATTGAACTCTTCTTCATTGCCTAGCCAGATTAATAACACATCACGCCATAAGAATATAGATGGGAGGTATCTTGCTATGATGTCAGATTTGACCATATTTTCCTCCCACCATCCAAGGTGAAGGTTGGCATACGATGGGGCACAAGCTGTCCCCATCGCAGTACCCCTCACCTGTTGATAAAATTTGTTTTTGAAGGTGAAATAGTTATGCGTCAAAATAAATTTGAGAAGTTTAACACAAAAATTTGTGTGATAGTTATGTTGTTCCCCTCTCTGAGCTAGGAAATGTTTAGTGTGTCTAATCCCGTTGTCATGAGGGATAGATGAGTACAGTGCCTCAATGTCTAAACTACACAGCTAATGGAGGTATCTCTAGGTTTGACAAGAGAGCAAGAGTTTGTTTAGTATCCTTGAGATAGGATGATAGTCTTTCTACAAAAGGTCTTAAGATTTGGTCCATATAAATGCTCCCGCTCTGGGTCAAATTTTCCATACCTGACACAATGGGGCGTCCCAGGGAGGTTTCAATGTTCTTATGGACCTTAGGCAAGCAGTAAAAGGTTGCTATCCTAGGGTGACGATTCAGAATGAATTCGAACTCTTCACCCGTTGGCACCCCTTCACTGCGGCCTTGGTCCAAGATGTCTTTATATTGTCATGAAGTCATTCGTGGGATCAACTTTCAAAATTTTATAGGTGTCCCTATCTTCCAGATGTAAGGTGGTTCTCTAAATTAACTCTAGTTCTACGAGAAGTGGAGATATAAGTTATTTGTCTGGTAGTCCTTAGAGTACCTAACGAACTTTTGGTGTTTTACGTATTTTTAAGGAATGTTAGAATTTATCCAAGTTGTTTTTAAGTCTAGTTTCAAGTTATGTAAATTCTGGATCAGTTTGAAATTGTTGTACTTTTTTTTTTTTTTAATCTTTCAAGATTGGAGTTGGATTCTAATAATTTCTTTTTCAAAGTTAACTAAAACTTGCATAAACCGTTTTAGAGCATGAGCCCGCGGCGGATTCCCATTCCTTAATCAATTCAGTGTTGTCTGTATAGGACGAAGGGACATTACGTACCCTTAGTCCACGTGGGATCATATCTTTTGATATAGTTCTCCAAAGAGGATATTTCCCAGCTAGATCTTATCTGCTTCTTGTGTAGATTTTGTAAAGTGTAGAATGATTGATTAATATTGGAGGGAATTGCATCAGTGTGGTCAAGTTGTTCTGTAGAGAAGACACTGTCTGAATCTCTACACCAGATATTGCTATCTGGTTTATTTGAAAGGAAGCCTGCCATGGAGTTAGTGACAAATTGGCTATGGATCTACTAAAAATGGTTAAGCTCACGTAGTCCAGGTACTGAAACCTAAGTGAATAAGATAAAATGAAGCAGACCTAGGGGTCAATAAGAGCTTGACTCCAGAGTCTGCAACACAGACTATGTGGGTAGTGGGGGTCATAAACCCAAATTGAATATAGAGAAAAACCCTGGCGGGTCAAGAGTAAAGGGCAAAAATGCAGTTCCTCCATTGTTCCACCCAGGGAATACCCACAGCAGTAAGGGGTGGGCACACAAAAAAGAAAAAAGTATATTAAATCTTTATTGGGTAAATATTAATAAAATTAACTAAATATTGAAAAAATTAATCGAAAAAATAAAATGAAAAAAATAGGTACAATTTGATGGTACTATGTGAGTGCGATTTTTATTTTTATTTTTTTTTTTTTTTTTTATTTATTTTTTTTTTTTTTTAAGGTGGCAAAAGGAAGCAAAACCTACCACAGTCGACATAACAAAAGAATCAGTAACACCATATTCCAATAAAAACTTCTTAAACAAGGAGAAAGCCCTGTCATAAGCCCTGCACATATTAGTGGACAGAGACAGTCGGGCAAGATGACTGCCGTGGGACAAGGCGTTCAGTCCATGATCAGCTCCTGAAACGGAGGGGCAGCAGTGGCAGTGGGGGAGGCCGTAGGCAGAGCTGCACGGAAGGCCTGAAATTGAAACAGACAGCCTGTCAGCAGCGACATTTGTGACACCTGGCACATGAATAAAAGTCAGAAAGAAATGACTAGCCGCCAGCCATGTCAGTTTCCTGAGGAACCTCATAACAAGAGAGGAAGAACGCCCTTTATTAATGATGTGGCACGTGGCCTGGTTGTCCGAGAAACAGTGAATCTAACAACCCGACCACGCCCGACCCCAAACCACACTGGCCACTACAATGGTGTAAATTTCAAATAGGGCGGAGGTAGTGGAAAAACCCTCGATGTCCAGGACCTCCACTGGCCAAGCACCCTAAAGCCACTCAGAACCGTAAATGGCAGAGAAGCCGGTAGTGGCAGCTGCATCAGTCCATAGTGCAGGTGATGCTTCCAAAATTTCGGGAAGAAACACTCTTCCCATTCCAGGAGAGCAAGAACCTCCACCACATGAGCAGATCCGCCGTGGCATGGTCATAGAGCGTGATCCGGCTATCATCGAGAGGGAAACAGGGAAAGCAGACGAGATAAATGCCCGACCCTCTGGGATAATCCTCATAGCAAAATTTATTGACCCTAGCAAAGATTGTAACTCCCGGCAGCAAGACCTAGTGCGAATATAGTAATCAATGCACGAGAGCATGTGAAATATTTTGTCCTTGGGTAGACTGGCCTGCATTGCAACCGTATCAAGCTGAATACCCAGGAAAGTAATGAAGGTGTCCAGACCTTCTGTGTTGTCTACGGACAATGGAACACCCAACAATTCAAAAAGGGCAGAGGCCTCCTTCAGACTACATGGGGGGGAACTTGTTCTCCTCAATCATAAGGAAGTCGTCCAGGTAGTGGAGGACTGCGGGACACCTATTAACATTAAGGAGCAACCAGCATAGGGTCCCAGCAAAGATGTCAAACAGTTTCGGGCTACTTTTGGAACCGAAAGTAAGCCGAGAGAAAAAGTAATACCGGCCCTTCCATTTAACACTGTACATGTGCCAGAGCGTAGGGTGTATCGGCAAGAGCTTTAAAAGCATTGACAATGTCAGTTTTACTAAGCCAAGCACCCACCCCGGCTTTAAGGATGGCTGAAATGGCATTATCAATCGTGGCATATTGTAGCAAATTCCTCAGACGGAATTAGGAAATTTAAACTAGGAATTGCCGAATGGGGGGTGGAGAGCGACTATCAACCTCTGCGGTCACAATACCAATAGGGTTAGTCCTCCATGTAGTAAATGGCATAGCCTGGAAAGGACATAAAAGAGAACCCCCAGAGACCTCCTGTTGTATGAGAGTCAACCGCCTCTGGGTGAGCCAGAGCCAATTGCAGGTTTTTACACTCAAAGATACTGGACAGCATATGTATGATGCCTGTATGGAAACCCTCAGAAAAACCAGAGACCAAGAAATCAACAAAGTGCCTGGATGGGTGAGAGGACAACATGGCTGACAAGGCACACATTAACAGTGGTCAAGCAGGGTTTGGGAAACCATTTATTGGGGCACATGGTGAGCGCATGAGCCCGGAAGCACTTTGAACAAATATGCAGAAGCCTACAGGTGCTAAAACTGCAGGTACCAGCATTAAAGTTATTACAAACCTGGGACGTCCCCAGGAAGTGTATGGGGCGACCCAGTTTGTTCTTGATGACCTTGTCAGGTTGCGGGAAAGGGGAGGGAACAACAAGGCCGGAGGAAGCCTCGGCCGTATTAGAACAGAGGTTCGTGGAGTGAGATGTGGAGGAGCAGACTGCATAAGCTGGTGTCCTCAGACCCGCGAAGTGTCTGCAGAACAATTCCTTCCCGAGAGGCAGTCTCCAGTCTGTCCAACCTCTGGGTGACTTGCCCCATGGATGCCACGAGAGAGGACAACATGGAGTGCACATCAGAGGGGTCAGCGCCACTAGGACCTTCTCCAGCGCCTTCTCCAGTGACTGCATGGGCCGAGGAGGAATGCAGCAGCCGGAACAGTTCGGTCTTCCTAGCTGATGTGGGGAACGGGATCTGACGCCTCCGAAGTTCTGCTGCGAGGCGAGGAACAGACCATGATCTGAGGGAGGCAGACGTAGCTGAAT